CATACGGCTAATGGATTGGATCTTGCGGGTACCATCACTAAAAGACGCATGTGTGACAAATGGCTATTTACCAAACATGACAGGGCCTAATATGAGAGAGTTGTACTAACACTGCTGCACGCACACACACAAACACACACACACACACACACACACACACACACACACACACACACACACACACAAACACACACACACAAACACACACACACAAACACACACAAACACACACAAACACACACAAAATATTTCTTCATTTCTTCCCAGGAACCACTAAATGTATCAGAAACGCTGTTGATGCATAGTAGCTTGTCAGCTATCAAACATTCCCCATACATTTTTAAAACTAAATAAAACACCTTATTAATTGATGGCAGGATGCTCAATGTGCGGTATGTGAAGCATTTTTATACTAAGCAGCATCTATTTATATTCACTTATCAGCAGGTTATTGGTCTTGGCCCTGTCCTCTTTATTACAGTAGACTTTTCACCCCTTCTCTGGACACAGTTTATCTCTCTTGTGCTTTACATTTGAACTAATCCCTATAAATAATGTAATGGGAGGTCAGTTTTACTTTTATGTAAGTTGATTCTATGCTGTGGTGCATAAAAACCAACATGGACGCACAACACAAAACATTTGGTTCTTACCATAAAGGCTCCAAATCTGCACAGTGTCTATTTTCTTCACGCATTATTTAAAATACACTAAGATCTTTTATCCAGCGCCTCCAAACCCTTATAAAAAGTATCCGGGATAGTGAGTTCATGGCTAGAAACAGTGTTTGACACACCAACTTCAACTCTCAGAAGAGATAAAACCAACAAGCTGGGGCTTTAAATTTCTGTATTCCATATTTTACATGATCATACTTTCTAAATTGTGATGAAAAGTGATATTTTGTTTTTAGACCCCTTAAATAAGACCGGAGCAACTTGCAACATGTCCTTTGTTGTGTCACATATACCCCTAAGTTCCTGTTAATACAGTAAGCTGGAAGTAAATATTCTAATTATTGCTAAATTTTAGTTTTCCTTTTTGAGTTCCTGTCTTGTATTGTGCTATGTGACAGAACCGTTCTGACTTGGGCCTTAAATTAACAAACATTAACAATATCAAGGTTTAGATGCTGTTTTCAATCTGAACATTGCCAAACTCATGCCAGGACTTCCTTTGAGTAAAAAGGAGTAAAAATCCATTTCAGAATACACAAATATATAAATATAGCAAAAATATTTACTAACCACGCCCTATTATTTGCGTGCTGGTGCCTCTAAAAGACTGAAAGGAAAAAAACAAGAGTTGATGTTTTCCAGTTCATTAGTGGTTCAGTTTCAACCAACGTTTACGTAAAGGTGCATTTCACTATTAGAATAATATTATTGACAAGTTAATTTCTGTCCTCTGTGATCAGAACAATAGCAACGGCAGAAAAACAGATTTTTTTGAATTAGTTATTAAGACCCCACCATCCCAAACCTGCCAGCAACAGAAGCTGATTAAAAATATTTAGATCGGACAAACTCAGACTAAATGTGTAAACATCAGGATTCCAATCATATCATTGTTATTTTCTTTCTCAAATATTTATTTAAGAAAGTATTTCCAATTTTATCAGTTAAACTGAATGTTTATTTAAGAGAGTATTAATTTATTGGTCTAATATCTTCTTATCAAAAAAAGCGGACACGTTTTTAATATTTTTATTATAAAAGTATGCTTGGTGATCATTATTTAGGATTAGACACATTAAGAAATTCAACTTGAGCAATGTTGAAAACACACAAAAAATTATTTCAAATTTAAATCTTTTAATTATTTTTAACACTCACTCTAAGCAGGTTTTGTTCTATTGACGTCCCACAAACTAGTTCCTCCTAATAAATAACTTATTTAATGAGCTTGCTGTGTATTGTTCTGTTCTGTGTATCATCCTCAGTTTTTTTTTAACGTATTTACCATTATGAAGCAGTACGATTCAACAAGCTGCATTTGTCAAGTGGATCCGAACGCGCGGCCAGTGATCCGAACAGGCAGGTCTAACGGATTTATTTGGGCGGTCTAATTTTCTGTCCTGTAGACACATTCAACTGGTTTTAGCGCATTGATACGACCTCTACCTAGACCTGCCCCAGGTCAAATGTAGGTAGAGGTGCGCTCAAACCCAGGAACATCTGCATCGAAACCTGCTGAGACCAA